AAACAGTTTGTCACAGCCCCTCGTTTGTTGTCCTCTTCTCCCTCTCTGCCTACGGTTTACCGGGCAGTTCTATTTGACGATATATATATATATATATTTTTTTAATTTTATTGAAATTTGGTAAAAAGTGTCTTTTTTTTCCTTTCTTTTTTTTAACCTTTTGGTATGTTCTGGGCACTCCGGCCCAGTACACACCGGGGGCAGCCATGTATTAACCGAGCTGGAAACGGGTCCGGCGTCCCTCACATAAAAGCAGAGTTACAAAATGTGATCCAGACAGATGACACAATCCACTACATATGTATGGTACACACACAACAGCTAAAGTAAGAAGCCAAAGATAGAAAAGGCCGGATCCCCCAAAACAACCAGCCTAGAGTCATCTCCAATCTGAACACACGTAAGGTACAACGTGCACACACAGGCAACAAGCAGTAAATGCACAGTTCCTAAAGACAGCAACCGAGAGTCAGCTCTAAAGCCGGCTCAAACCTAAAAGGCACCCCTAACAACAGCACAACAGCAATCCCAACGGAAAACATATCGCTGTCAAAGAAAAAATGAAGAAAATCTGAGTGCCGGTCGACAGCCAGGGGGCTGTCAAATAGTAACCAGTCCAGAGAAAGAAGCCCAACACGTGGAAAAGTGCCTAAGAGATTTGGCCGAAAAGCCTTTATGGTGAACCTTCAGCAGCCAATCTGTCAGAATAGCTTGTGACCCAGAGGCAGAAGTTGTTCAGTTGATTTTTCTGCATAACATAGTTTTTTTTTTTTTTTTTTTTCTGTGGCTGGGACCTTCGCTGGTCCTTGCACGGCCGGGCCGCCCGGAAAAACAGGGTGACCCGGTCACCCTGTTTCATCCAACTAGAAACATTTCTACTCTATTTTTGTCCGCGGCTGATAGCTGGTCCAAGTACTGGTGGTTTAAACAAAGACAACAATAACTTGAAAAGATGTTTAAAAATCTGCGTCGTTATTTTTCCCTCTCCCCAACCTCAGAGACTACTTTGCGTGCTTGCTCTCTTCTCTGTGTGCAGCTTCCTTTGAAAAAATCTGTGTTATTTCTCTGTTCCATATGGCACTTCCTTCACTGGTGTTGCTGTATCCAAGCTGTGCCACCAAGTTATATAAACCTTTGACCGGGGCAAAGACCAGACACGAGCCATGGGCTCATGTGGGAAGAAGCGCTCCTACACGGATTCCATTGGCGGTAAGTACGACAAGGAAGAGGAGGAAAAGGAGTTTATACCGCTGCGCATAACGAGTATTGCGAGCAACGAGGTGAAACCATACGGCAGCACGCGTCCTGAAGAGAGCGGAGCTACTTCGCAACAACGTGCTGAGAATAGAGTTGGTGAGAACGGAGTCGGTGAGCATGCAGTCAATGAGAACTCGTTGACTCCGTCTTCGCCCGACAAAGAGTGTTTTGCGCGGTTAAACGTTGCGCAAACACGAGCCTCGTACGGCATTCAGGTGGAAGGGAGTGACGTTCCGCCACCCCTCTTGTCCTTCAAGGATATGGGCCTGCCTACTTCGGTGTTGGAAGAGTTAGGAAGGCAGGGTGTCATCGACCCGTCGCCTATTCAGATGCAAGCCATACCATGCTTACTGCAGGGGCGAGACGTGATCGCGCTTGCAGAAACAGGAAGCGGCAAGTCCCTAGCCTACGTTCTCCCGTTGCTGATGCGCCTTCATTCCAAACCGGCGGCAAACGCCGGTGACGGACCGACAGCGCTGATTATCGTGCCGTCTCGCGAACTCGTCGACCAAGTTTACACACTTGTTGCACGCTTTTTCGAGATCATCAATTATGGCAGTCGGGAAACCGTGAACAACCTTCAGCAGGTGAGCAACTTAGACCAGGATGCGTCAACAACACGGTTGTCGGCGGCCGCTACAGCAGAGTCGCTTTCTCGCCGTCAGGCACCACTGCCTTCGTTACCACCACCCTTACCCTTGCCTCCACCGCCACCATCGCCTTTGCTAGCACCTCCATCTCTGCCACCTCCCCGTCCTCTTTCCTCTGCATTGGAGCACCCACTACCTGCTCGGCCACCAGTACTTTCTCATGCAACTTCTCTTCCCCGTCTTCCTCTATTCCCACATGGTCAGTTACCACCCCTGCCCCCTCAACCACCACCGCCTCCGCCGCCCCCCTGTCTGCCACCCCTACCCCCTCTATCACCTCTACCCCCTCAACCACTGCTCCTTCAACCACTGCCCCCTCCACCAACCCCCAGTCGACAACTGCCAGATCATGAACTCAGACGACCCCCACCGCTGCCCTTGCCTCAGTTGCCTCCCTCTCAGCCACTACCTTCTGCACTTCCTTCGTCTCCTGCTTCTCATCTCTATACAGCAGTTGGGAGACCTTCATTCATTGCTTGGCCTCCGTTCGCTGGTGCGCATTCAGGATTCCCTCAAGCAGCAGCGGCCCCTGCTAGTTCGTCCTTGCCTATGCTGTCTCTGCCTGAGGTGACACAGCTGCCACTTGCTGACTTCCACACTGAGTTGTGCTCGGTGGGTTCACGGCCTGCATGGGAGTCATCGCAGCATGTAAGCTCCGGTGCGGAATTTCTTTACGCTGTCGGTTCGACGAAAGATACACCGGGCTCCGGTTCTCACGACTGTTCCCCTCAGCTTCAACCAGAGCGTGGCTGCACCATTGCGAACACTTCAGTGCTGGATCAGAGGAGCGAGGGCCCTCAGATTTCGCCCTCCCTGCCCTGGAGGAAAGCATTAGGTGTTGTTGGAGGTGTGGATATCTTTCCACAAATCCAAGCACTTAGGCGAGGTGTAGACGTTCTGATTGCCACACCGGGAAGGCTCATAGACTTGCTGGAAAGGAAGGAGGCATCGCTGAACAGGGTTTGTTTTCTTGTGTTAGACGAAGCCGACAAGATGATGGGTGAGGGGATGGAGGAGCAACTACGGAAGGTTTTAAACTCGATTCCGGGGAAAGGCTGCCAGGCGTTGCTCGTCACGGCAACAATGCCCATCGGCGTCGAACGTCTCGCGATCTCTTGTGTTGTGGATCCCATCACCATCACCACGGGCGATCCCAACACAACAGTTGAGTCTGTTACCCAGGAGGTAATATTTGTGCATTCGTTCGGGAAGCGGTCGAAGCTCTTGCAAGTTCTGAGGTCCACAGAGTTTCCGCCGGTGCTGGTCTTCTGCAGTTCGAGGGAAACCGTCGATTCCATAGTCAAACTGCTCCGCTCGGAGCAGTTTCACGTCGCCGGGCTGCATAGTGGAAAGAGTCAGACGTACAGGTTCCGCTGCATGCGCGCTTTTAAGGATGGAGGAGTCGACGTGTTGGTAGCAACGGACCTCGCGTCGCGTGGCATCGACTGCCACGATGTCCGTCGCGTGATCAACTACGACATGCCGGACAGCATTGAGACATACATCCACAGGTGTGGCCGGACTGCGAGGATGGGAAGCGAAGGGATAGCGACATCGTTTCTCTCGTTGGACTGCAAAATCGCCAAAGAGCTTCGGCAATTGTTACAGAAAACGGACCAGGTGATCCCGCAAGAGCTGCATGATCTTCGTCAGTTTGGAGGCAAAGTTGTTAGGACAGAGTTTGGGGACATTGCAATGAGGACATGAGCACAGGGGAGGTGTCATGCTCAATTTGCAATTTGCGATTTGCAGTTTGCAGAGTCCATCGTTTGGATATCTTCATGTTGATTAAACCAAGGGTGGGTCATTGCACATGGGTCAGTGAGTGTATAGTACTTACCACGTTACGGTGAGTGTATAGTGCAAATCTCATAGCGTTCTGGATGAGCAAAGCAAAACAGTAGATGATTAGGTAGAAAAAAGGTGGGAAGGGTGGGAGGAGCGCGGTGG